CTCTTTCCCGTTCCCCAATCATCTTCTTATTTTAAGTTATATTTTTACCTCCTATTTGTTAGGTAGAGTGTTATGTAATAAACATATTGTTTTTGGAGCAGGTGGGCTACCTATCTCTCAGATCCTCATAGTGGTGGAGTAATTGGTAGAGGAAGGAAAAAGCCAAGTTTTGACTTCAGTAATTCCTTAAAGTATGCTGCAGCATAGGTACTAGTGAAAAGCATATTTGGGTGGTTTAATTATTTAAAAATAATTTTTTTTGTCTTTATTAATTTTTTAGAGAGAGAATAAGTGAGAGGGAGAGACAGATAGAAACATCAATGAGAGAGAACATTGATTGTCCACCTCCTGCATGCCCCCCCCTGGGGATTTGGCTCACAACCTGGGCATGTGCCTGATGGGGAATGGAACCAGCATCCTCTTGGTGCATGGGTTGATGCTCAACCACTGAGTCACACCAGCTGGACATGGGTTGTTTAATTATTTATAAATGAATTTGCTTCTTTTCTTTTTTATGTTGCTTATAAACATTGTACCTCATGAGTATTCTTCATTCTCCTCTGGAGGAAAACTGAATCCTTACCCAGCCCATTTGATAACTTGAACTCCATAAGGAATGTAGGCCAGAGTGCTGATTAAATGTGGTCCTCTAAAAATACAAATCTTCAAGAGTGTTCACTAAACTGATTTGGGATCAGATGTTAAAACATTCCATTTTTAAAATTTTTATTAGGTAATATTGAGATATGCAAAATAATGTGGTTGTAAGTGTGCAAGTAAACCAGCTCCCTGACCACTCAACAAAATACGTTCTAGTTTATAACATTTATCCATTTCTGTGGTGTAAATACTGCCATCTTGGCTTTCTACATCCCAACATAATGTTCGGTATGGAGCTGGGAAGAGATGTGCACAAATTGACTTTTGCTGGTTAACACCAGCAGGCTCCAACATACCCCTAATTATTGCATATATGTCATGAAGTATGAAAGACCAAGGGACCTACCACTTGACTGAAGAACTAGAACAATACCAGTATTATTGTGACTTTTCTGTTTCCTTTGTCAAAGTTATTTAAAGATTTTTGCCTTGGATGAAATAATAGCAAACTTTCTTAACTTGTTTAGTGTATGCCAAGAACTGTTCTTCTTAGTAAATCCTTTAATACTATGAAGTAACTCTATGAAGAAACAATATTATTTTACAAATGAAATTGCACTTAGGGAGGTGAAGTCACTTAGACCACAGAGCTAGCAAGTAGAAGAACCAGGTTTCTAACCTAGGCAGTCTGACTTTGGGCTCATAATCACTATACTACACTGTTTCTTTTTTTAAAAATTTTCACTGGAGGATATATTTATCATTGAATTTTTTCCACAAAGTGGAAGGGAGGGTGGGGGGAGTGAGAGAGAGAGAGAACATCCATTGGTTGTTGAGAGAGAGACATCAATTGGTTGCCTCCCACACACCTCCCAACTAGGATTAGTATCAAACATGCAACCCAGGTACATGGCCTTGACTGGGAATTGAACCCATGACCCTTTGTGCAAGAGTTGACACTGTAACCACTTAACCACATTTGCCAGGGCTACATTTTTTTTTTTTTAATGTTTAAAAAAACATTTTTTTTTCTTTATTAATTCTGGAGAGAGAGGAAGGGGGAGGAAGAGAGTGATAGAAACACTGATGAGAGAGAACACTGATTGGCCGCCTCCTGCACACCCCCACTGGGGATCGGGCCCGCAGCCTGGGCATGTGCCCTGACTGGGAATTGAACTGGCGACCTCTTGGTGCATGGGTCAATGTTCAACTGCTGAGCCACACCAGCCAGGCAATGATGTTTTAATTTATGAATATATGTGCTTAAAAGTCTAGGGCCAAAAGGCTTGTATTTGACTGTAAGGACAGTATTTGCCTAAAATAAGATCAAAAGGGCTGCTACTGATTATGTGTTCCAATTTAGAGGATTTCAGTTTTATGAAATACCTTGGGAAATTTTGAAAGTCTACATTAGAAGTGGTTTGCTTGCAGTCTTTTTTTTGTTTTATTTTTTGCATGCTTTGCCCATTTTATGGGAGTGTGAAATTGACAGTGATTTTTTTTTGAGAGTTCATTTTCTGTTTTTTTGAAATTTTAGTTCTCTCTAACCTCCATTTTAGCAGCATGGCAGTTCAGGAGATGGTTATGGCACATGAGTGATTGGAAACAAAAAGATAATGATGAGTATATTTTTGATGATGTTATTAGATACATACAGAGTCAGTTAAACAAAAATTACTGGGAACTTGAAAAGGAAAAATTCTATAAAAGTACAGTGACATTGTAGTAAAAACATCTTTTTATTTGAGTTTAGAAATAAGGAATTTGCATCCACTTTTAAGTGATAAACAGAAAAGGCTCAAACAATAGGATAAAAAAGGAAAAGGATAAAACAGATTTGTGCATTTTTCTATTAAATTTAGTTAGTCTTGCTCAATTCTTATGTTTTGATTTAGTAGAAGATACTATTTAAATTGCCAATTACTAGAGAAATATTCTTCACTTCAATAAAAAAATTTTAATTGGGCGATATTAAAGTATTTAAGGGAGGAAACCATGGTAGAGGGAAACCTAACTGGTTGAAGTTTTAAAGTGTTTTTCTGCCTGTATACAGAACTTTATTTAAACCTTCCATATATAGAAAATCAACTTTTAAAAAAAATCTACTAACAGATTTGAATCTCAAAATTTAGCAATGCATTTGTAAGATTTAGCGATCACAGGCTGCTAATAAAGTGGAAGGAGATGTAACCTAACGGAACCTGGATGTAAATTCTGTCATTTAACTGGTTGTGTATAGTGTGCAAATTATGTAACTTCTCTGAATTGTATTTTATAAATAGAAATGCTGGTATCTCACATTCAGAGCTGTGGTGGGGATTAAACTTAGTGGATATTTGCTATTTTTTCTTCATATTGGTCAGAAATGTTTATGATCATACAGTGATAAAGCTGGAAGAGCCCATGGCAGTCTCATCCCACCCTCATTTTGTAGGAGAGGAAAAGTCAGCTCTGTCACTGTGATCAATGAGTGAATTTGAAGTAAGAAAACATGGTTTGTGTATATATCCCATACTCGTTCTGAGCCTTGGCCTCCCATTATCTACTTTGAAAATCTCTTTTTCAAGGAAAAGACTCACTCAACATCTTTTCCAACTTTTCTACTGTGCCTTCCCATAATGCAAAAGCTAGATAAGAGACATAACTACATTTCCCATCTCCACTGTAATGAGGGATTTTAGCTGTGCTGTAGATTCCGCCAGCCAGATACACATTTTTCAAACCTAAAATCAAAGTGTGCAAAAGAGTCAGGTGTGTTAAGCATTTGTCTTATTACTGTGTGGGTCGAGCACAGTGGTTCTCAGACTTTAGCATGCATTAAGATCATCTGGAGGGTTTGCTGAAGCACAGATTACTCTATTAGTCCCACCCCTAGAGTTCTGGATTCAGTTGGTCTGGGATGGGCCTGAAAAGTTCATCCTTCTAACAAGTTTCAGTGCATGTACTCTCTTTGATGGTTTGACAGCATGAGTTTCTGGAAATTGGAGAAACAATCTGTCTTGCATCCATCTAAGAGAAATGTTTACAATTCAGGATTTATATGAAAACCGCCATGAAAATTTTAAAATTTATTTCATGGAGGCCCCAAGTACAGTTACTTTCCTCTATCACCATCTTCATCTCTGCTATTAAAATGGCCTAGGACATTGCAAAGTACTGAGAAGTTCTTCAAAGAAAGGCAAATAATTAAAAGCACTAATTAGAAACAAATAAGCATTTACTCTTTGTTTGGTGTTAGGAGCTTTTGTTTAGGTGGTTTGGATTGAAAGTGGGGGAGGGTAGGAGGTTATGGTGAGCACTAAGGGACAAAATTAAATGGTGAACCATGAAAATGTGCATTGGTCTCCACAAGGTTTAAGAATTCTAATTTTTTTTTATTTTAATTGGTGGGCTTTTTCTTTAACTGATTAATTAGGTGGGGTGGCTGGGGAAAATCCTTGCCACTTTTATGTTACCCCCCTTTAATTCTTTTGTATCCTTACAATATTTTTATTGTTTCAGGGAATTTTATTTCAAGTTTAGGATTTATGTGTAGGTTTAACCTAAAAATGACTTTTAATTTAAGAAATAGTAAAATATAAGTAGTTATATCTTTGATCAAATTACATTGTCCTACAGTTGTTTCTGAATTTTACCGATTTTGTACCCTAGCCTTTCTGTGTTCTTCTAAAATTGTTCTACAGAGTCTGGATTTCTCTTTTTGATATCTCAGACTAGTGGTCATTTTGGCAAATTGGCTCCTTTATTTGTTAAAAAACTACTTATGCTGTGCCTGCCATGTGTCAGCAACTCTTGCGAGGCTCCGGGGAGATGATGATGATCAGACACCTTGCCACACTCAGGAAACTTCTAGTGAAATGGGGACGAGAGAGACTCTTGGTTATATGTTAGCATAAGTGTAACATTTAGATGAGAAGGAAGGAAGGTGTGTAGTCATAGTTTCAGTTAGAGTGATTTAACTTCTCAGGAAAGGCTTCAATGGGAAACAGATGTCTGGCTGGGAGCTGAAGCATGAGGAGGAGTTAGTAGGCCAAGAAGGGAGCAATCCATTTCCTAGGCAGAGGGCACAGTGTGCACAAATGCCGAGAACAGGGAAGAGCTGAACAAGAACAGTGACTAAAAGAAGGCCAGTGTCGTTGGAGTAGAGAGGATGGACTGGGGAGAGTAGGGTGGGAGAAGGAGTTGGAGAAGGAGGAAGTAAATCAAGAGTGAATATTGGAAATTTAGGGATCATTACAGCGACCCAGGTGAGAAAATGGTGCTGGCAGGGAAAGAAATAAATGTAGGCAGTTTTGAGCCATATTTAGATGTGGTTTGAAAAAATGTATATATATAGCTTATTGGGTTGAAGTGCATTGCAGAAGTTACAGGTTGATTGATTTTTACTTTTTTCTCTTTAGGAATTATCCAGCCTACCTTTGCTACTAATGAACAGAAAACTGATTTAAATGAAGTGCCAACAAGGGATTGTCCTTGATTTTTATACTTTATAGTATTCCTCAAATTATTGTCACATTTTCTCTTACATTAAAAACTGCATTTAAGTTAGAAACATGAAGCAGTTGAAAAGGAAAAGGAAAAGCAACTTTAGTGTTCAAGAAACTCAGACTCTTTTGAAAGAAATTACAAAAAGGAAAGAAGTCATTTTTTCTAAGCAGCTCAATACAACAATTAACGTGATGAAGCGCATGGCTTGGGAGGAGATTGCGCAGTGTGTGAATGCTGTGGGAGAAGGAGAGCAGAGGACGGGGACCGAAGTGAAAAGAAGGTACCTGGACTGGCGAGCACTTATGAAGAGAAAGAGGATGAAGGCGAACATTAAGCTGGTTGGTTCTGGGTTTCCCCTTCCTTCATCCGACTTAGACGATTCTCTTACTGAAGAGATTGATGAAAAGATTGGATTCCGAAATGATGCAAATTTTGACTGGCAAAATGTGGCAGATTTCAGGGATGCAGGTGGATCCTTAACTGAGGTCAAAGTGGAAGAGGAAGAAAGGGATCCTCAGAGTCCTGAAGTAAGTATTAGTCTGTGAGCCTTTTATTCATCTAATTTCTTCAGTTCTGATATGTGAGTTAGTTATAGTCCAGGAGCAGATAATAGGTCCAGATTTTCAAGCTAACTTAAAAATACATATAAAGTCACTCCATTTTTTCCTCTTTATATCATTAATCTCTTTCTTGTCACCTAAATATACTCTCTTGCTTATATGTTAGTGACATTAGCTGATTCATTGTAAATACTGAAAATTCAAAGTAAATGGTTTTACGTCCTCAAACCGTACAAAAAGATTTTAAGAGCTATTTAGACAAATTAACAACCATGAAATAAAAATAATACTGAAAATTGCTTTTCTCCTTTTAGTTTGAGATTGAGGAGGAAGAAGAAATCCTGTCTTCGGTCATACCAGATTCTAGGAGGGAAAATGAACTTCCTGATTTCCCTCACATCGATGAGTTTTTTACTCTAAACTCAACTCCATCCAGGTCTGCCTATGATGAGCCCCATTTGCTTGTAAATATAGAGAAACAGAAACTAGAGTTGGAAAAGCGACGGCTGGATATCGAGGCTGAACGGCTGCAGGTGGAGAAGGAGCGGCTGCAGATCGAGAAGGAGCGGCTGCGACTCTTAGACCTGGAGCACGAGCGGCTGCAGCTGGAGAAGGAGCGGCTGCAGCTGGAGAGGGAGCGGCTGCGGTTGCAGATAGTCAGTGCCGAGAAACCATCTTTGGAAGCTGAACTTGGTCAAGGTGAGAAGGCCGTACTCCAGCCGCAGGACATAGAAACGGAGAAGTTAAAACTTGAGAGAGAACGCTTGCAACTAGAAAAAGACAGGCTGCAGTTTCTGAAATTTGAATCAGAGAAGCTGCAGATTGAGAAGGAACGCTTACAAGTAGAGAAAGAGAGGCTCCGAATCCAGAAGGAAGGACACTTGCAGTGATGTCTCTAGGTCTCCATGAGCAAATGTTTGTAAACCACAGGTTTTTCTCCACGTCGGGCAATAGGAAAACGGTCACAGGATTAGCTATTTTTCCCCCTGTTTAATGTCAGTGTTTTCAATAGGAAAAAGATAGTTGTATGTGAGTAACTGTATGCTAAGTAGTATGTCATATTAAAATCACATGCCCTAGCATAAACAGTATAGCAGGAACTATTGTGCTGTACTCCTTAAATTAGTAAAATTACATAGTGTGTATAATCTGTACACTCAGAGTTTACAATATGTCTGTGTAAATTTCTAGCTCAGTGTTTTTCAACTGGTGGTGATTTTGGGCCCCAGAGGATGTTTGGCAATGTTTGGAGACATTTTTGGTTGTCAAAAATGGGAAGTGGGGTGAGTTGCTGCTGGAATGTAGTAGGTAGAGGCCAGGGATGCCTATGTCCGGCAGTGCACAGGACAGCACCCCCTGCAAAAGAATTATCCAACCCAAAATGTCAGTATTACTGAGGGAGAAACCCTATCCTAGCCTAAAAGTGTACCTCTATAGCTTTGTTTTATAGTTTTAGACTATAAAAACCTCAGATATTTATGTGTGTAGTTACTTAAATGGCCAAAAAGCTTTTAACTATGGAACATTACTGTGTAGTATATAGAATTTAGGAAGTGATGAAAATTATAGATACTTTATTTCCATGTTTCCATCTAAAAATAACCCAATTCAGAAAACAATAGAGGGAACATCAGAAATTGTCCAAAATGAGTCACTTTGAAAGCAATTCATTCATCTAACCATAAATGCTTTAGAAACAACACACACTTTTTAAGCTTTAGTTCCCTTTCTTCTTTAAATCCATTTTCATCATTTAGATATAAAAATTGTCATTTCAACCACATACTGAAATCTTAATGTAACCGAACGGTTGAAGCTAGTGAAAATGATACCAATATAAAAATGGTACCAATAGTCCATGAGCTTGAATTCAGTGAGTGGTTATTTGATTTTTAAAGTAAATAGTAGCAGCTGTGTGGGGGTGGGGGTGGGGATGGGGGTGGGGGGGAAGTGTCCTCTGAATCATGATGATGCTGAAATAATGATAGTAGCTGTGTGTTATGAGTTAGGGAAGCACTTAGTGCTCACTATCTGACCTAATCTGTAGAATAATTCTTGAGGGTAGTATCTAATATTTCTTAATTTGAGGCTCAGAGAAGTCACACAGTGAATAAATGGATGATCTCATATATTGTGGTATATTTTATCTTTGCCCCTTCCTGAGGAACAAAGTTTTTATCTTCAGTCCCTTTGGTATTTATTCTGAGACCAAAGGCTTGCTTTGCCTGGTCATTTGCCTTCAGTCCCCTGAAGGTGCTGTTTCCACAATCCAGGTGACTCTAATGCACACTAAAGTTATCACTGCCTGAGATCTCTTTGTATTTTCAGATTTCCAGGGCTGATTTTTAGCTTTAATACATCTCTTCTGTTGACTGATACTACCTTGATTCTGTGTTTGGTCCTTGTTAATTTAAGAATGTCCTGAAACCATATGTGATATTGGAGTATGGGTACATAAGGAAAAAAATATACTTCTACTTAGTTACCTTGACTTTGACATAGTGTTATTTTTCTATAACAGAAATAAATGCTTCTACCCTAGAAATAAAATTTGCCTATACTATCTGAAAGCTGATCATTTCAAGCAATGCTTTGTACTGTAAGGGTTGAGGTTATCAAGCCTGGAAGAGCCTTACCATGGTGAATGGGATTGGGGGACCTAACTTTTATGATAGGCCTTATGCTGTGTGCTTTTCACACATTATTTTATTTGCTCCTTCGAATATCCCTAGAGCTAAGTTATCTTATGCCTACTGTTATAAGAAAGGAAACAGTGCCTTGTTAGTTTAATTAACTAAATACCATGAAAAATGACATATCAATCCTGACCCAAGATTTTAGTGTAAGAGCTCTAAGAAGTTGTAGTGAAAGTTTGTGGGTATAGTTATGTATTGTAGTTTTGCCACTTACTACTTGTGAAGTTATTTAATTTGCCCTGCGATTTGATTTCCACATCTATAAAGTAAGCTTAATGATACCTGCTCTGCCTGTGCTTCACAGTTTTTTTGCCTTCCTCATTCTACCCCAGTTGTTGATCAAGTCCTGTCTTTTGATGTTTCAGATCAACCTCCATCTTCACATGTAGTCCTTAGCGTGGTGGCATTTGCACCCTGTACTTCAGCAGCCTCCAGTCTCAATTCTTTCCTTCCTAATTCTCCTTGTATGACACTCTCAGAATAGATTTCCCCAAGTGACTGCTTTTTATTATGTCCTGAGAATAAACGGGGCATGAAGAAGTAGACGAGGAGCAGAGCTCTGGAAAGATCATGGTCCAGTCCCAGCTCCACTGTACTAGCTGGTGATGTGGGACAGTAGTTGTCTCTGAGCCTCATTGTTCTTGTCTCTTATCACATCCCATATGTATACCCTCTGGACTCTTACCATGTATGAAATAATAATACTTGTATATGAAAATGCAGCTTAAATCTAGAAAGCAGCTTAATGCTACAGTCAGTCCTCATTTATGGCGGTTAATCAGTTCCAGACACTACCGCAATAAATGAATTTCCACAAAGTAGGATTCTTTATTTATAAATCGAATATTTTTGCATTTAGAGCGTAGAAAACCTGTTTATGACCTTCTAAATACGTTTTTTAACATTATTAGAGCCCTCTACACATAAATAACACCATTTAGTCACCATTACACTCATATTACCCAATATATTAGACAAAATAAGAGAAAATAAGACATATTAGACATTACAAATATCATATTATTATTGTACATTTAATTACACACACACAGTTCTTACACACAACCACCAACCTATGAAAATAGTGCAACTTGTTTGATGATGAAGATGAAGAGATGTACTGCACAGCAGAGAAGAGCAAGGTTACTGCTCCTCTGAAGGCATGACCTCGGTAGGAGAGTCTGCAGGTGGTGCAGCATCTTCAGTGGGTGTGTCATCATCTTCCGCTAACGGAGCACTAAGGGTAGGCAGTGGGTGTCTGGGTGCGCAGGTGAAGAACATCGTGAGAGGCAGTTGCTGGTGCTGTCTTTTCATATGCATGAGGAGGCTTTTGTAGGGTTCTATCGCCCCATCAAGTGCATTCCAGAACTGCAATGCACGCAACGTTTGTGGGTCCCATTCGCCAATCATGTCCTGTACTACCTTAATAGTTCTCACGACTTGCTAGAAATGCTTAAGTGTAAGGCCACCTTCCCCCTCCTGACCTCCAGGAACCTCTGGCTGCTCTTCCTCCTCCTCACTCACAGACAGTCATCTCCACCAGATCCTCGTCAGTTAAGGGATCCGAATGTGTCTCCAGCAGCTCATCCACGTCATCACGTGTCATTTCTGCGAAACCTCTTCCCAGCGTCTGGGCTAGCCTAACTGCCTTATCCACTGCTGAATTATTATATCCTCTGGGGTGAATCCTCTAGTCGTGGACAATTTCAGGCCACAACATCTTCCAGCTGGCCTCCACGGTCCCCATCTTTATGTCCTTCAACATGGCCTGGATGTTCTTCACACAGGTCCCGATGGTATACTGCTGCCAGTACTCCTTCAGCAAGAAGATCCCCTCAAGGTCCATGCCTTCGACGAGGTGCTGCAGGGTGTTTTGCGTGTAGAGGACCTTGAACACACGAATTACACCTTGATCCATGGGCTGGATCAATAAAGTAGTGGTGGGAGGAAGTAACTCAGTCAGCATTGTCCGTGAGGAGAAGGACATTAAACTCAAGTTCTTTCTCTGAGAGAGACAGCTTGTCTTGGGGGATGAAGCACTTGTGGAACCAGACCAATGACAGCTGCTTCTTGATCCAGCCCTTGTCGTTGTGCATCCAATGCACTGGCAGCAGGTTCTTGTTTCTATTCTTCAGGGCCCTAGCATTCTTGGCCTGGTAGGTAAGAGCAGGCTTGAGCAAAAGTCCCTCAGCATTTCCACACATAACCACAGTCACGCCATCCTTATACACCTTGAAGCCACGGACCTTGGCTTCGTCCTTGAAAATGAATGTCTGGGAAGGCATTCTTTTCCAGAACAGTCCTGTTTCATTCATATTGAGCACCTGTTCTGGATGATACTCACCTTCCTCAAGGATCTTCTGGAACGTGTTGTTCACATAGTTCTCTGCTACAGGCTGGTGAGCAGAGGCAGCTTCTCTGTGTCATTCTCCAGATGATACCCTTTCTGGAACTTCTCGAACCAACCCTTGCTCGCCATGAAATCCATGAACATTGCAGAAGAGGGTCCTGGTTGAGGTTCGTCCACCGTAAAGCACTGATAGAGCTGCCTCGCCTTCTTCCAGGTGACCAGCGAATCCAGCAGAATGTTTTTCTTGCAGCTGTTGCTGATCCAAACGGCTAGGGCAGACTTTGTTTTCACTATGAACTTTTATGACTTGTCACGACGCGCTTTGCTTCCTTGTTGAAAGAGACAGTAGCCGTTGCACGGATGTTCTTTTCATTCAAGTTATAATGACTCATTCAAGTCATAATGGTGGGCAACCTCCACAATTTTCTTGCCATCTTTGATCATATCCAAGAGTTTCACCTTCTCCTGGATGGTAAGCATCTTTCTCCGGCGCTTAGTTTCATTGTTAGAAGGCTTAGAAGAAGCAGCATGTTTAGGAGCCATCGTGGGGCTTAGATACAAATTCTCAGAAATCGCAAACACTTGCAAAAGCAAAAACGCTTCCGATGTGTAGCAATGTAGAAATGTGTGTGAGAGAAACAAACTTGAGGCTGAGCCAATCAGTGGCCAAGATAGGAAGAGGCTAGGATAGCCACTCAGTAAAGAGCACACTGATTGGCTTAGTTTCACCACACCCGATTTTTTTGGAAAAAAGTTATCGCCCACACACAAGAAATGGTCGAGCGATTACACCTGGCGTTGAAGGATTCCTGGGGTGCTGGAATACATAGGCCTACAGTCCATAGGTACAGTAATTTTAATTGTAATTGCAATACAGGGTGTATAATTGACTCAGACAACCAAGCACACGCTGTATCATTTTCACTGTCTTGATCAACTTTTTAATGAATATATTTGCAAAAGCCATGATAGAGTGAAGCTGCGAAAGTCGAAGCATGAAGTGGTGAGGGACGACTGTATTACAGATTCTACCTGAAATGGGTCTCCCATTTCCTTCTGTATCAAGTATAAAGTCCTCAAATATTCTTTGCCTACTTGAAGACTTTCTTACCAACATAATTAAATGTTTGTCAAGCTGCTTTCCAAATATTCCACTAATTTTTTTCCCTTTTTTTTTTTTATCGTGTTTTCATCCTCCACCTTTCCATTTTCTATCCTAGCATGACAATCAACAGAGCAAAGCTTTGTCAGATGTAGGGACTTGATTATTTCTACAGTAACTTAAAAATACTAAAATGAATTTTGCTGAATAAAATTGGAATATTTTATCATATAAAATTGGTTATTTTGTCTTCCAAATTCTCCCTGGGGAAATTTTGAATAAAAATGTTAAAGTCAACATTAGTCTGCACAGCTTATAACTCATTGCCCACTTGTCTGAGCACTGCTCCTAGACTAGAGGCATGGGCCCTAGCAGCCATGAGTGTATCCTATGACCCTTCCTTTGGTTGTAGTGTTTGCACTTGCACCGAAGTGGACTTGGCATGGCCGTGCATTCCCTGAGATAACTACCATTTGGAGGATTCTCTTTCCCATTAAAGATGATCTGTGTCCTGGCCCAGATCTAATGTTTCTCTTGATGATTCTACAAATAAAAAGCATGGCAAGGATTTTAATTCATATTTATTTGCTATGTACTCTGTGCCCTCCTCTGAGACTCAGGATTAGTTGTTGGCTTCAGATTCCTTTTGCTTTTGCTTCCTGTGCTGTTTCCAGATCATTGCTCCTTCATTCCTTTATGAAAACAACAACAACAAAAAAAAACCTGCGCCTTTGTGGAGGACACCCTAAATCAC